TTTTTTGGTACTTAAATTTTCTCATTGGGACCTCATGACAACTCTCCCCTATGCTTAATGTTCAATAAATACATCTTATTTGGTGTAGAAACTTAATAATCAATTTACATTATTAAAAAATTATTTTGGTTGACTTAGTTATTTTAAAACATATCTTTAAATTTTTTTCATTTAAAGCTGCTCTTTAATATATTTGCAATTAATGAAAATAATTTAAAAAAGTTAAAATTTTGGAAATAAAGTAGATTGATACCTTAAATGCACGTAACTAAATAATAGTGTAGTATCAATTTTAGATGGAATGGTCATGACTAATGATTTGATAAAGTATTAATGACTATGACTGAAAAAATTATTAGGATTTAATTTTAAAAAGTCTATGGCAATTCAATTCCAAATCAAGTCAAACTAAAAAAAAAAAAAAGGGAATTTTTAATAGATCCAAATGCTTACCTAATGGAATTGTAAGGCTTGGCCCAGTTGGGCTGCAGCCTGAGCCTGGTTCAGTTTCGTTGCGGCCATTGCCCTTTTGTCCATGCGGACAGGAGCAGGTGTAGCCCCCAAGGGTGTTGCGACAACGATCCTCATGCAAGCAATTATTTAAGTTGATGTCCTGGCACTCATCCACATCTGAAATTCCGTACACTCATACAACAATTAATCATGTGAAAAAAAAAATCTTATAGCACTGGTTAATTTCTTCTCAAATCAATATTTCTGGTTAAAACGAACTTTTGAAATGTTTGTGCTTTTACAATATTGTTAACTATTTACTTTAAAAAAGCAAAAGCAAAGAAAACACCGTCACTATCGTTGTTCTAGAGCTTATTATGATTCTTTCAAGAAATAAAAAACCAGACCGACTATTAAACAAGTGGAGGTAGTGGTTAAAAGATCAGTTGGTCAGATCGGGATTACCTTGGAGTCCAACCGGTCATATTAAAATGATATAATTTAATTGAAAATAACAAAAGTATAACAACATTAATAATCACTAATAACAAAATATAAGAAAATATAACAATAGTTTGATTGTAATAATAACAAAGTATAACAATATTGAAAATTTTGATTTTTATGGTTCTTCACTAACTAAAATTCATAATCATTAATGCCAAAATTATCATTAAAATTCATTTAAATATATAGGGGCTAAGATATTATGAGTTGGATGAAAAAAAAATAAGACCAATAACAATACAATCATCCAAACCGGTTTATTACTGGTTCATGTTGGTTTTCACCAGTTCATTTCGGTTTGACCGATTCGTTACCAATTCAACTCCCCTCGATTTAATATCCAAACAAAACCAGACCCACTGGCCGGTTTACTGGTTTTCCGGTTGAACTGGTCGGATTAGACTGGCTTTGTGTTCTCTGGATTTTTTTAGGCCAAGGCTGTGAAAATGGGATTTGTGCCCACCACCCGTTAGATCACAAAAGATTTGATTCATTTTAAAGACAAGAAGAAAAATATTTGAGAAGCCAAAAGAATTTACCGAAATCCATAGGGTATTAGAGGCTTAAAACTCCGCAAGTACTTAAGGAAATAGTTTCATATAAATCGAAATAAAACCCCCTCGTATAATTGCCCCGTCTTGTGTTCCACAAAATTACTTCTAAATAAAATAAAAGAAAAGAGGTTTAAAATGAGAGATCTATTTCAGCCCCAAGAAAATCATTAAAAAAAAATCAAAAAGTGTGGGGTTGAAACCTCAAAATTATCGTAATTACCTTTGCAGCCATCGGCGGTGTAGGGGTTGCCTTCGAACCCTGTTTTACATTTGCAGTAGTAATAGCCCCTGACACTTTCTGATTGTTTGCATTCCGCATTATGACTTTTGCAGGCTCCACCGCATGATCTTTTCTTATCAACTGCCCAATCGAGAATTACCGTAGATCTGTTACCTTCTCTTCCCTTCTTGAGGTCGCCGTCGTCGACGAGGGGGAAGTTGAAAGTCCCGTTCTGCTCAACAAATGCAGAACTGCAACGAGTAAAGTTCTCGGGCCCATTTTGCTCGCTACTACGGTAAAATACAACAGTAATGGTATAATTTGCAACGGCTTGCTCCAAATCACTCTTGCAGTGGCCACAGCCGCCGGCGCCGGAGCAGAATTTATTATTATCCGCCACTGAACTCCGGTTATCGCATCTCGCGTCGCAGCCGTTAAGGTTTTTTTCTTTCCGGTCATACAGGAAAGCATAGGTATTACACCCCACTACCCTGAATTTGTTCTTTGTATTGGATATGCCAAACTTGAGAGGCACCCAAAAACCACGCCTCCACATATTATAGCCATCTTGGGGATTGTAGCAAACATTATAAGCAGGCATAGAGACAAGAATCTCACTACTGTTCCCAGAGATGCTGAGAACCTGCACGGTGTCGTTTTCCCCTCTTGCTAGTTGTGGAATATGCTGTCCAGAGGAAGAGTTGCAGATTATTTCAAAATCAGGGTCTTTGAAGCAGTCCTTCGTCATGCCGAAGGGATAAGGGATGTCCACGTTCCCGCACTTTCTTTTGCAATCTGCCGCCGCCGTCACCGCCGCGGCCAGTGCGAAGGCCGATGATAATAATGCCAGGTTCAAAAGCAATGCATTACCCATCGTTTAATCACTACTTAGTATACGATGGTGATGATTCTGCGCAGTCTGATATGATCAGGAAAGCTAATATACAGACAAGGTAGTTATAATATGAACATATCTATTCTGTGTTCGGACAATTTAGTACCTAGGATTTGACTTTTATTACTTATGTTTTTAGTTGTATGATTCCAAGCAGGTGAGTCATTTCATGATTATAAGCATATATAATTTCTTTTTATATAAGTCAAGACAAAATAAAAAATTACATGTCAGTCATTTTAAACTGATTTAAAATTAGTTATTTATTTTTTTAATAATTTAAGATTTTATTAACAATTTTATGTCCCAGATACACTAATTAACTAAAATAAATTATTTCACCTAGTGCCGACAAGGGACATATGGGGCTACAAACGCTACACATTATAAGAGAAGACTTGGACAAATCAAAGTCTTGGGGATTTATATTCATCATCCTACATTAGAAGATATTTGCATCGCCCTAATATCTCCCTCGGTGGGGCCTGAATAGCTTGGACTATTATCACCACATAATAATTGTGAAATTAATTTGGATATTTTATAGTTATTTTAGACTCTTCAAAGCCTCCATTATTCACCTATTTGTTTTTTAAAATTTAACGGGTATTTTTTTGTTATTTTCCCTAAATTTTTCCCCATCCAGTATTATCTCTACTTACTTCGACTATTAAGAAGACATTAACGAAGATTTGGTTGCCCATGGCATGGCATCTCATTAAGCATCAAGAGCTAGCTTGAAGATAAAGCATATCTGCAATTATAAAAGAAGACTTTCTTTTTTTGACCAGGTATAAAAGAAGACCTGGACAAGTCAAAGTCTTCGGGACTATATCTCTATCTTCGACTTCTTAGGAGACATTGACGAAGACTTGGTTGCATGGCATGACACGGCAAGTCATTTAAGTTTCACAGGCACGGCAGAAGTGAGGGACACGTTGACCAATAGGTGTCATACTCGTTCATTAATTCCACTCCAGAATTAGGCAATGAATGCTCCCCAAATTGAAGTTTTAATCATGTTTTTCTTCAAACAGGAGAATGGGATGGCCAATACTAACTTGCATTCCAATTAGCTACCACAAGATTTTCATAAGTGACTAGAATAAGAAACTACAAAATACTACCTCCGGTCCTTATATAGAAGATCTGGTTGGTTAATTTGAGAAAATTAATGAAGTTACTAAACTAATTATTCTAAAGTATTTATATTTATCATTTTTCTCTTATAACTAATTGGTCTCACTTATAAATTAATATATAATCTAATAACACACATAAGTATTTTACAAAATTTATGTAACACATGCTATATTAAGTAGTTTAGTAACTTTTTGAATCTTTCCAAATTAATTAGTTAGATCTTATATTAAGGATTGGAGGTAGTATGATTTAGATCATATTTTCCAGTTTTTGGTGACTGGTCAGATTTTACTTCCGCGCATCTGTTTTCCAATGGCGGCATTACAGTTGTTTTCTACAAAATTTAGACTCAAACTTTAATCCTTCATGCATCTACATAAAATTTCAATCTAAGCTTACCTCCCCTATCAATCAGTCAATCCAGTTTTTAGTATACTGGAAAAACTAGAGATGAACATAAGATTAGGAAATTAAGAATTGAATGTTCATTGTTAGTTAACTACACTCTTGCGATTCTATTTATAAGGTAGAGAGAATATTTTTTTTTTTGTCCTATTTATAAGTCACATTATTAAATTTTTCACATGAATGCACACTTGCCTCCTTCATCTATTATTCATGGGAACAAGCTATTAAGGTATACTTTTATAGAAACCAGGAAAATCTTAAATCCTATTACTTCTGTCTTAAAATTTAATAACTTTTTAATTTTAATATTTATGTAAAAAATTTAATGATGTAACTTATAAGTAATACTCCCTTCGTTCCTTATTATAAGAGACATTTGATGCTTATAGCATGTTCTCATATATAAGAGACACTTAAAAGTTGTCTCTATTTTTTTGTATTGATTTTCTATTTTACCCCTATTTATTTTGTTTCCAACTTATACTCTCTCTCCCTCCAACTTCTCTTTCTTTTAATAATTTAATTGTTCTCTCTCATACTCTTTCTCCTTATTAATGGGGGCATTGTTGAAAAAATATTATATTTTTTACACATTAATTGTCCTCAACTAATTTTAACTATTTTTTTTATCAATGTAATTTGGTTATTTGTTTCTTATAATGAGGAACGGAGGGAGTATTAAAAATTCTTTTTTCCCCAACTTATAAAAAGGATTAGAGTAAAAATTACTAAATTTTAAGATGGATTTAACAAAGTTTAAGCTTTTTATTGATTCCGATAAAATATTAGAATTACATACCTTATCTCTAAGGCGAGATATGAAAAGTGCATGTGGAAATTGCAATTGTATTATGCAAATATGATTTGGACGTGCAAATGTTAAGCCGGGGATGCAAGTTGGGAGTTCCTCCTCCCTCCATAAAAAGATGACTACGTAGTGCTCCTCCTTTATTTGCATTTTTCTAAACTAAAAGTTTCACAGATACTGTCACAGCGAGAGACTGTGACCAAGTCTCCTTGTTCATTCCACAAATATATAAAATAATTAGGCAATGTACAATGTTCAGATTTCTTTTCTCTTTTTCTTTAAATATGAAAAATCGGGTGACCATCCACGGCCAATTACTACGTGTCCGGCTTCTCTTCCTGTGCTTGTCCTGCGTGCTTCATTGAGATTTGATTTGAACGTTCAACCATCAAGCGAAAGTAACCTTTTAAATTTGATATGTATAAAAAAGTAAAGTTCTACTAACTAGTGTTTATTAGTTTCGGTATTTAATATAAGAACTAGTTGAAGATTTGATTAGTTCTAAATATAAGAACTCAATCTACTTTATCTTTAATATTTATTTATTTTGCCTCCAAGTAATTCCTATAATGATCACTTATGTTAAGGAGTTTTCATCAAAAAATGATTAAAATGCACATGACTAATAGGGATATTTTAAGGAAGACAAAATCTATTTATTACAAATAATTACCTTGACTAATGTTTTTAATTTTTGTAAATTGATCATCTAACTCTTATATTTATAAAGAGCAGGGGTAGTATAATCGATGGATCCTTCAAAGAGATTTATTCAATCTACGTATCAAAAATAACACCTTAAGGTGTTTTCTAATAATGAACCGTCTAAACTAAATTATAACAATTTAAATTTAGAATTTAGTGTAGCTAGTGAGGGTAATATTAGAAATCACTTAAGTTTTATGACAAATTTAATACTTTTAATTGTTTTTATTGGTGCGTTTGAATGTTAGTAACCTCTTATAATAAATACCAGAGGGAGTACTAAATAGTATTCCCTCTGTTGTTTTTTTAATAAAAGACAATTGTTTAAATTATGTTGCTTGAAATATTGGTTGAAATTAGTTAAAGATAGTAAATATGTAAAAAAAAAAAAACCCTTTTACGCAAAATACCCTCATTTATGTGGAAGAAAGAATATATGGGAATTAAATGCAACTATAGGAGTAATATGAGTCATTAAATGAGGATAAAATAGGAAATTGACAAATAAAATTTGAGACAACCTTCAAATGTCCCTTATAAAGAAAAACATGCTCTGCTCCACAATTGTCTCTAATAAAAAGAAACGGAGGAAGTATTTCTATTATTGTATAATAAAAAGGAACGGAGGAAGTATTTCTATTATTGTATAACAAAAAGGAATGGAGGAAGTATTTCTATTATTGTACATATGCTTACGTCTGGATTGAGCACCCAAATTGATTCTGCTTATATCTCTATTATCTTTCGATCAATTATTAAAAAAGGCCATTAAGTATACAGGGCAGGGCATGACAGGCCATTAAGCATCAAGAGCTTGAAGATGAAGATGAAGTTTCACAAGTACAACAAAAGTGAGAGACACATTGACTAGTAAGTCTCCTTCTCGCTCATTCCCCGGCAGAATTGGCCAATAAATGCTCTTAACCATAACCCCCCCCCCCCCAAAAAAAAAAAACAAGAGAATTGGATGACCAAGACAAATTAACTTGCATTCCAAATATCACAACTTTTGTCATAAGATTAGTAAATGAAAAATTTGAACTGGATATTCATAGTTAGTTACCTTTATGAAAAGTACATGCGCGCATGGAAATTGGAATTGTATTATTCAAATATGATTTGGACAAATGTATATGTTAAGCCGTAGAATGGAAGTTTGGGGGTTCATCTTCTCCCCACAAACGGGGGCATATAAATTAATGAGTATTGAGCACTCCCGCGTTATCTGTATTTTTTAAATCAAAACTAATTGGTTTAGATTTAATTTAATTTGTATGTTTTTAATAATTGTTGCTTTTTTTTTATATAATGAGGTTGCTACTTGTTACTTTAATAAAAGTAAGCTTTAAAAAGTAAAGCTACCAATTAAAAAAATTGAATATGACTGTCACACTCCAGTTTAATTAGACAGCTCATATCTCACCTTGTAAAATCAGAGTTATATGGATATCACTATTAGCTGCCACTCCTTATATTAAAAGCACGTAATAATGGTTATTGGTTAATGTATAATAACTTTGAATTCATGTAAATTAACAAAATTACTAGTAAAAGTTAATTAAATTAGTAAAGAGCCAGTTTATAACTCACAAAGTCATGAGTTTGAATTCTGCCGCCAATGTGACAAGAACTTTATTGATAGGCGATCTGTAAGTACATCTAAAAATACTCTCTTAGCCTAAAAGCTTACCCTAGCCTTAAACTTTTTGTTATAAAAAGAGTAAAAGTTATTTATTTATTTTTAAATATCAAAATTACTCTTAATAAAAGTCATTAGTTAGGAGAATTTAGTTAATTAGTTAGAAAGTTTAAGGATTGGTTGGCAGGGGAAATGGAGAGGAGGGGAGGGATTTTACTAACACTACTCCAATATCCATCATTAGGACAATGGCACAATAAGCATTCTCTTTCTTCTACCATTATCATATCATTGTCCTTCTCTTGAAGGTGCTTTTCCATTTCCATTAGACCTTATAACTCCGTTAATACTTCCTTCATTGTTAGCCTTTCCTCTCCATTGACCCTAATGCATCTCTTTGCCAACAAGGCTACTTCGTTCATTTGTTTTGCATTCTTCTTATGGCCTAGCACTTGCTTATCAAAAATCTCCCCCAAGCATTCTTCTCTAATTGAAGACACAATGCTTAGCCAAAATATTGAATTTAAAAATTTATTCCCAATGAATAGCTCTACAAGCACAATTTCAAAACTATAAACATTGCTCTTATAATTCAATTGACATGTTTGAAGGCATTCAACATCCAAATATCCTGTTGTTGCTTGAACTACAGTGGCAACTTGAGTTTCATATAGATGGACAAGTCTACAAGCTTTGAAATCTGACACCTTTGCTCTATCATTGTGGTCTAATTAATAGTATGTTAGTAGATTAAGTATATCCATGGATAATCAGAATAAAAGTTGCAGAATGTAAACATAAAATGGCCTCAACAGTTTCTGTAACTATTTTTAATTGAGTCTCCCATGTGATAGAACGTTCGTTGTTTGATGTATCCAAGTGATTAAGAGGGTTTTTAGATGGAAACCAAACTATAGTTTTAAAAGTAATTTTACGGTATATGAAATAAATATCTAGAGGAATTTGTTTCAATTTGTGAAAAAGTACTTTTCAGAAATATTTTTGGTGTGTTCCAAACACCCTCTAAAATTCTGTAGAGATTAAAATTCTTAATTTTATTTTCTCAAATCAAAACACTTCTCAAAAGAGGTTGGTTCATTTTTCTTAACGTTGGTTTTGGCCTGTGAAATGAATTGAATATAGCTTGGAAATAGTATTAGATAAACTTCTATCAAAAAATCTATTAGATAAACTTTCTTAAGCTTCTAAATTACAAGCTTTATGATTATTAATATGAGATTTCAATATATATATATATATATATATATCAGTAGATGCGAGTCTCATAAATTATAGAATCTGCAAAATAATTTGTATTGCCCCTTGTTTAAGCATAACACAACTTGTTATAAATTTCATAGAATTATGGGTTTTGTATTATATGGATTAGATTAAAAAAATTTTGGCCAAAAACGAAAGATTAGATTAAAAAATAATAATGCAATGTGACCCTATATTTTATCCAAAACTTATCCTTTTCTATCGTTAACAGGGTATCAAATGGGGTGCCCTTATCAGTTTAATTATTATATCATGCATGATTTTTAACGTATAATATAACAAGATAAGAAGTGAGTGCGCGAGACACAAAATTAATTGGTAAAGATAAGTTAAATTAGTAATGATGGTCATGAGAAAATTAATGGAATTAAACACCAACCTTAATAATCTTTCTTATTTTGAAACCACCATATTAAACCTTGAATTTTTTATTATTCTTTTCTTCTGGGATCAAATTTTGATTTTTTTTTTATTTTGAAACGAAGTATATTTATGTGATATTAACAAAACTAAAAATTTAAAATCAAAACCCAGCTTAAAAAAATCTCAATAGTTAATAGGCCATGAAATATATAAATTATCTCTTGATAATGAGCATCGAATTTGTATTGCCCTCTCATTAATAACTTGTTAGTTAAAATGGTAAGTAGTCTTGCCCCTATAAGGAGGGGAATATTCACAAATTCAAATCTCTAAATTAAAACTGTTAAGAGGACTTTAACCTTATCGCTCCTTGCCCGATAGAGATTAATGTCAAACCTAAAAAGACTTGAAGATACTTTGAGTTATACTAAAAAAAACAAGAAGTATTCCCCTCTCGGTCTCTTATTTGGTATAGTCTCTGTTTTTTTTTCCCGTGAGAGGAATTGGAACCTTACTAAACCTGTTTTTGTGAATACGTAACTTGCTTGGTAAATAAAATACGTTGCCAAAAGTAATTGGCTACCACCTGAAGTAGTTGTCAGTTGGTTAAAAAAACCAAACAAAAAATAAAGTAAGAGATAAAGAGCCCATTGAGAATATTATTCGAAAGATTTTTTTTTTTAACCGAGCAATCTTAAGCAATCTTAAGTAAGAGATAAAATCCTTAGCACTAATTCTCTAATGAAAATTTCCCACTTTTCCATAAAATAAGTAATTATATCAGAAAGATAAGGTTCATCTTGTAGAAGAGTAAGATATCGTCATACCATAAAATACATGGAAAAGCTCAAAAGATACCAAATTACAAAGACCCTATCAAATCCTTGGGAAACCCATTTGTTTAACACTCAAGAGGAGCAATATACAACATTCTACCTAACAGATTTGATGGTGATGAGAAGCCCTGAGAAACAAGTATTCCTCTCAAACCAAACAAACCACAGAATCCCATAAACCGCACATTGCCAGTGTTTAGTTTTCTCTTTAACACATCTACAAACAAAAGTGAGGAACTATTCCAGAATACAACTTTGATCACATTACATAAGCTTACAAAACAAACAGAATAGGATTTTTTGCCACAAATTCCAATATAAAATTTTCAATGCTCTATGCATGATTCTAGCAAAATAAGACAGCATATATAACAAACCAAAATCAAATAAAGAAAAAAGGATTAATTAGACACTCAGTAATGCCAGGCTTTTAAAGCTCCAAAATCAGATCAGAACTATGATAGGCGATGTACCTGAGCAGGATCAAGTGTCAACATCCTCTCCAGCAATTCTAAAGCATGGCGATCAAAACTATAATCCAAGCGTGATGGAGAAAAGCTATTAAGATAATTAACAAGGAGACAGAATGCAGCAACATAGGATTATTGATGCTGTTACGGTGATACTCACTGCCTGAAGACTTCCCTCAGCCGTCTTTTCATTGGTCTTGTGGGTTTGAACTGATTATACCATGGACACTTAGAAACCCCAGGCCAGTTCACTTCATCTGGTGCTCCACAAAGCTCAAAAATTTTGTTTAGTTGTTCTGGCTACAATTTTTACAAAGTGAACAAGTATTACAATTTCAGCTATAAAAGAGATGATTAGAATTAATATATACACCAAAGGCCATATATTATACTCCTCTGATCCTCAATGTAAGAGTTATTTAACTAATTTGAGGAGATTAAGAAGTTAAATAAATTACTTAATTCTAACAAATGTAACACGATCTCCCCAAATAAATTACTCATAAGTTAGATAAATTCGTTCGGGAAAAAATGATACATATGAGAGTAAATGAATTAAGGTCTAACATTTAGGAACAAAACCAACTATCTAACTAGCTCCTATATATTTTCGGCCAAAAAAAGAAAACTAGCTCCTATATTTAAAACTAGAGGAGTAAAACAAGAAAAGGAATGCATGCAAGGCACAAATAAATTCTCAAATAAAGGATATATGAAAGTTGGATCCAGTATTCTAGCCAATTCTTGCCATTTGCATGCCATCTAACATCCTAACGAACGATATAAGCTTCATATTTTCCAGTAAACCACATTTACTGCAACTATTACAGGGTTGAATAACTACTTAGATCAATATGAAAATAAGAACCTGAATCTGAAGCCACTTGATTGAAGTGAAGAGGTAATTACAGTTACCAAGAGAAGAAGTTTACAATATGCATATAAAAAATGGTAGCAAGTACTTAGACGGAGAGAAATTAAAAAGAAAAACAAATATTTTCCCACAATAATTTGTGCCTTCATGGACAACATAAAGGAAAAACCTGCCGTACATACAGTATCACCTAACTTGCTAGTGCACTTCGTTCTCATGCACACTAATCAACCAAACACTTGAAAATTATAAAACCACAATAATTAGAGAAATATTAATGACCTCATCTTTTCCAGGGAAGATAGGCTTGCCATGGAGAAGCTCAGCAAAAATACATCCAACAGACCACATATCAACAGCAGGTCCATACTTTGTTGTTCCCAGCAGCAGCTCTGGGGGTCTGAATATATCAAGATCAAGACCAAATCCGTTAAGAGTACACACCACTTTCATAAATCCCCCTTTCTTAACCCAGATTAAACTGTCATAGAAAAATTAAAACAAAACTCATGCACCTAAAAAGTCACACTATTTACCTATACCATAATGTGATCACACGATTTGTAAGATTTGCATTGTGGTCATTAGAAAATGATCGTGCAAGTCCGAAATCTGCAAGCTTCAGATTGCCTTCATTGTCTATAAGAAGATTGGATCCTGCATCAGAACAAAATACATGAAATATGCATATCATATACAATAAAAAATTAAAATAAATAAGCCTCTAGGGATGAAATCCAGCTTTACACAAACCTTTTATATCACGATGAAGTACTTGATTCACATGGCAATAATGAAGACCCGTCAAAAGCTGTCTCATGTAACACTTAGGCCAGGAGAAGCAAGTCAGAAAATGTTTAAATGGATTACTACCACTAACATTTGATTTAAACAATATTTGCAGCAATACCTTGATTTGGGGAACTGTAAATCTCATCCCAGGTCGATCAGCAAGACCAGTCAAATCATGGTCCATGTATTCGAATACCATATAAATACCACCTTTATATTTGTTTCCATCTGTAGTATCCAGCACAAAGAAAAATGCAGACATGGTAAGATGCCAGATAACAAAGAAACTAAAGGAATTTGATAGTGAAATGATAAAGCAAATTAGGCACTGGTGTGCTAATTGTTAATGAGGTAATTAGATAATATTGAAAATGGAAACCTGGCTTCCCTTGCTCATCTTTCTCAGGGCCTGGGGATAAAAAGACCAGTCATTTTAATAGCAAAAGCAAAGTTTCATAACAATCCACATTTATATATTTAAAACCTTTACCTGGTGATGTCACTATCTCCTTCAACTTAATAACATTTTCATGGTGTAATTTTTTCAGAATTTTGATTTCACGAATAGCAGTAATAGGAAACTGCAGCAAAAGCAACAATTCAGGGAAGAACCACGTAATACAAAGTTAGCAGCAGAGGACCAATAATACTTTCTCAATTATTGAGGGTCACTTGGAGGTTCTCATTTATGCTCAGATCAGCTAGATCGTAAATAAAATTATCTAAAGCCCCCATAGTAGAGTAAATAACATTCAGCAAGGCGATCAAAGAGATACCCCCTCTCTCTCATTGTCCATTCTTATTTTCTTCAAAGCAACAATTTCACCTGTTCTGATTTCTCTAGCCATGTAAACTTGGCTGCAAGCACAAAGGTATGGATCAGTTCCTTCTTGCAGCATCAGCAATGAAGGATACACCCAGAAACAAGATTTTTTTTGGAACAGAAATAGGCTAACAACTCTACCAGCAGGCTATAACTCAAGCATATGTCTTAAAAGGGAAACTTAAGACAAGACATGTTCGCAAAGAAAGTTAAAAGTTTCTAGCAATTCAATTCAAGTATGTCGTGTAATGGGGAACTGAGTCCCACAAAAAAAAAAAAAGGATGCTGATTAGAATTCAGAAAAAAAGAAAATGGCCAAAAAAAATCTTTATAAAAACTGATTTGATGGCTGCAGATAACGGTATACATACCTATTAACTGCTAATAACCTCACAAAAGTGCTATTCTTATATTTGTAAAATTAGAATTTAAATTTTTAACCGTCGGCTGCTTATATTAATGACAAATGAAACTCAAGACTTCATTAATATCAGGGAACATCTGTCACAATGAACCCAATTTGCAATTCTTACACCTAAGTTGGCGTCTTCCAATTCCATGAATCATTGCAAAACTAAAACAGAAACAACAATCAACAAATATAGTCACACTGCAAGAAGGAAACAAAGAGAAAGAAGTTAAGACTAACCCATAAGTTCCCTCGCCAATCTGCTCCAACTTTTCGAAGCAATCAACACTTCTGGATCCCCATGAAGGGTACTCGTTAAGGTTCAGCTGCCCAGGGGCCGCAATAGCCATTGCTCCTCAACCCCAAATCAGTGTTCGAATTCAAAATCAAGAAAACCTAGCAGACAAAAAAGAATCAACCAATGGCCAATTAGGGTCTTTCACTACCAACACAGTCGGAGAAAAACAAAAAACAACATACCAGCAGTGCGACAGCGTCGGAATCAAATAAAGTCGGAGCCTTTCGAGAAAGGAAACGTAGGAGACAGCGGAGTGGTATGGAAGGAATGGGATGAAAGCTTTGAGAGCAAGCTTTGCTCGATCGTCCGGGGTTTAGGTTTTACGTCTCTCCGGAAGATTGTTGATCCTCCTGGGACCGTCGTTCCCACACTAGCTTTTCTGTTTCTTTCGGCGTTTCCTACTCCGGTTATCATCTTGAAGGGGCTTGGTTTTTAAGTAAGGGAAAATAGTAAACAGAGACTTCCTAATAATACGTGAAATTATGATTATATCTGAAATACTTTATGAAATATAATAAATTTATTTTAAAAAATAATATTTTCAGTAGACTAAATTATAACTTGATTGAAAGTATATTAAATAATAAGTTGACTATAAAACCAGATTTTTATTTGTTATTTTTTAAATTAAGAATTCCAAATCATAATTTCACATATTAGAGGGTTTGGTTTATTAGAATCCCCCAGTATTATTTCTTAAACGAAATAAATAGAATCACCCCCTTTGTTTAGAGAAATTTTTAGGTACTCTCAGAGTGCCAAATCATATCAATTCTGTCCAATGAGAACCCTCCACCTCATATAATACCAACCCACGAGTGATCCGACTTATACCCATTAACCCTCTTTCTTCTGCCTTCAGGAGACCCCAGGCTTTGTTTGGTTGGAGGATTATGAAGGGAGGATAAGGAAGGAGATAAGTGTGTTTGGTTGGAAAAAATAGAAGGGAGGGGAAGGAAGAAATTTGTTTTCTAGTGCTCCCCTCTTCTCCCTATGCTCCCTTCTAAATTTAGGATTTTTTAGAGGAAAAAAAAATTATATCTAACATTGATCAAACTACCCATACTAGCTTTTCAATATTTCAAGTTTGTCTATCTTATTAAAATTTTTTTTTCACTTCTTTTTTTTAACCACTAATAATAATAATATTTGATAATGATAATATAATATTATAATTATATAATATATACATATCATATATATTAATATATAAATATCATTACATATGTGTATTATAATTATATATCATAGTGTGTGTATTATAATCTCAGATAACATGCATATATATTAATATATACATATCATATATATTAATAGATATATTTATAAAATTAATGATATAGAATGTTAAATTTTTTTATCATATTTTCTAATTATTTTTAGTTTTATCATGTTTTTATCACATGTAAGTGGGGGAATTGTTTTTATTTAAATTGATAAATTAAAAAATAATAATTTTGGTATAAATATTGTAATAAAAAAAATAAATTAGTCTAAATATAGAGATGACATATTTGTTAATTTATAATTATCTCCTCTCCCCTCCTCTTATGAATCAAATAAGAAATATTTGCTCCCTTTCCCTCTCCAACAACCAAACAAAATCATGACTTCTTTTCTCTTTCCCTCCCCTTCTTTTGATTAACCTACCCTCTCCTCCTTCCGTTGAACCAAACAAAGCCTCAAACTCTCTTTTTCCTTCGGCCCTAGCACCATATCCAGATTCGTAGCACAACATCAAGTGTGGAGGAGAAGGCACAACATGTTGGGCAAATTATTAGAATACTCTCGGACTGTGTTGTTCGCTTCTTCCTCAACCATGGTAACAAGAACATTATATAACTTTTGTTGGCAAAATGGTCTCCTTCATCTCTATTATCAAAATCCTCATCCCCCTATTCATTCTCTTCAGAGTCGGCATTGCTATTACCTACGAACTCACCGGCACCACGCGGCGCCATGGAGGGGGTAAAGTTCCGATTAGCCAACTTGATCCCTCTCGATGAAGCATTCTGGCTAAGTCAGAGCATTTCGTAAGAGCGCGGCGGCCGTGGATATATGCCCATTGTCGATCGATGGCCAAAAAATGGAAAAGAGATATGAGATAGATGAAGAGAGAAGAAAGAAGCGGAGAAAGAGGAAACTGGGGCAAAAGAGGAAAATTAATTTTTATTATTGTAATTGTAAAACAACAAATTGATGTGTATGAGTTGATGACGTGGGTTAAAATTATATGAGGTGGAGGGTTCTTAATCGACAGAGTTAATATGATTTGGTATTCTGGGAGTAGCTAAAAATTTCTCTTTTTTTTATATATTTACTTCTTTAAAATAAGAGGGCAACAAAGGGGGCTTTTCTTTTTCTTTTTTTCTTTTCCTTGACCTTAAAACCTGCAAAATGGCATAATTTATATTTAAACTAAGTGCTAAAAATAATGCGACAAGATCTAAGAAGGCTTGTTGGATGATATAACCAGCGGAAGCTATCATTTTTCTTCTATATTGAATGAGTTGGCAGATGATTTTTTTCCCCTCAATATAAGATTTCAGTTAATTATACATATTGAAGGAGTTTTTCATCAAGAGAGTAAATTATAATACAAATAGCTAAAAGATATACTCTAAGAAAATCAACATGTCTTTTTTACACTTAACTAATGTTATTGATTTCTCTGCAGAATTAGTTATTTAACTCAAGGAGTAGATTATGAGACTAAAAAGACAAGTATCAAGAGCCACACACACATTATAAAATGTATGAAAATTAAATTTGCAACTTACAGGAACTAACTGCAAACAAATTACTAGGTAGGTTTTTATCACCTTCCGTTGTACTCTCACATTTCTTAAATCTCCCAGAAAAGTAGAAACAGAACACAATTAAGAATATAGTATAAGATCATCGCCCACCATCTATAATCTCAAATGCCACTTGCTTTTGTATGCTATCATGGCTAGCAACTGAGAAGCTAGCACTGGCACTCCCATATCCATCATTAGTGTAATGGCCCAATAAGTATTCACTTTCTTCTGCTTTCATCATATCCTTGTCCTTCTCTTGAAGATGCTTTTCCATTGCAATTAGACCCTCTAACTCCATTGCTACTTCTTTCATTGTTGGCCTTTCCTCTCCATTAACCCTAATGCATCTGCTTGCCAATAAGGCTACTTCTTTCAACTGTTTTGCGTTCTTCTTCTGGTCTAGTACTCGCCTATCAAGAATCTCCCACAGGCGATCTTCTCTCATTGAAGACACAAAATGGCTAGCCAATGTATTGAATTTAAAAGCCTTACTCCCAGTGAGTAACTCCAGCAGCACAATTCCAAAACTATAGACATCACTCTTCTCATTCAACTGACCCGTTTGAAGGTACTCAGGATCCAGATATCCTATTGTTCCTTGAACCACAGTGGCAACTTGAGCTTCACCAAGATGGACAAGTCTTGAAGCTCCAAAATCAGATACCTTTGCTCTATCATTATGGTCTAAAAGTATATTGGCAGACTTGATATCTCTATGGATAATTGGAATAGAAGCTGCAGAATGTAAATAGGAAATGGCCTCAGCAGTTTCTGTAGCTATTCTTAATCGAGTCTCCCATGTGATAGAACATTCATTTTTTGATGGGTCTAGGTGGTCAAGAAGGCTTCCATTCTCTACAAACTCATACACTAACAAAGGCACTTCAGTTTCAAGACAACATCCCAAAAGTTTGACCACATGCCTGTGGTTGATCTGGGAAAGCACAAACACTTCATTGATAAAACTTTTAATATTTTGGGGATCCCCACCAACTCTGGACTTCTTAATTGCAACAATTGTGTTGTCTGGCAATATACCTTTATAAACCGTGCCTTGTCCTCCACGACCAAGAATTCTGCTTTCATCAAAGTTGTTTGTGGCATTCTTAAGCTCAACTTTTGTAAATATTCTGGTTCTGTCAGTATATCTTTGTTGTTGTGAAAGTTGTTGTAGAAGCAAGTTTCCTCCATTTTGCTCAAAATTTCTCTGTCTGAGTTGCATCAGACTCCTTTGCTTGTGTGCCCAACATAATGTGGAGACAAGTGTGAAGGCACCCAACAAAGCTAAAGTAACAACTACACGTATAGAGTTCAAGATGTGAGTTTTTCTTGAAAGAAGTTTCGAAATGTGATTTCAAAAGTGTGAAGACGCCAGTCCTATGCGCATGTCTAATCATTTTTTCCAGCACAAAATGCTAAATAAACTGCAAAGAAATAAACTATGGTTTGAACTTTAAAGTTGGCAGTACAGATTTTGTCCAATTGAATATAGTTAAAGCAAACTGTTATCCCATTACGTTTACAAAATATTTGAAATTTTTAGAAAATAGTTTATTTTTAAAATTAGAAACTAAATTATATTTGGTATCATTTTTTTTGGTTATTTTTTTCACTTTAATTTGAGAAAAACACACAATTTGTTCAATGTGGATGGGGGGAAAACTTTCAAGTTTAGTATCTACTTGTCCTAAAAAATAAAAATATTGATATATATATTTATATAGATGCACACATTTGAGGGAGAATTAATTACTATAAAATCTATTGATAATTGAAGATTATGTAATGATAAATTTTATGACAAGAAATGACAACAGGTTCATGTTAATTACTTGTTATTGTAATTTTTTGATAATTAAATTTTCTCACTAGGACATCATGATAATTCTCCCTATACTTAATGTTTAATAAATACATTTATTTAATGTAGAAACTTAATAATTAATTTACAGATATTAAAAAATTATTTTGGTTGACTTAGTTATTTTAAAACATATTTTAAAGATTTTCACATTCAAAGCTGCCCTTTAATATATTTGCAATTAATGAAAATAATTTTAAAAAGTTAAAATTTTGGAAATAAAGTAGCTTGATACCTTAAAATACACACGTAACTAAACAATAGTGTAGCATCAATTTTAGATGGAATTGCCATGACTAATGATTTAATAAAGTATTAATGACTATGACTGAAAAAATGATTAGGATTTAATTTTAAAAATATATATAGCAATTCAATTCCAAATCAAGTCAAACTAAAAAAAGAAAGGAATTTTTAATAGATCTAAATGCTTACCTACTGGAATTACAAGGTTAGGCCCATCAGGAGGGCTGCAGCGTGAGCCTGGCTCAGTGCCATTGCGGCCGTTGCCTTTTTGTCCATCTGGACAAGAACATGTGTGGTTACCAAGGGTATTGTGACAACGCTCCTTATGCCAGCAATCATTTAAGGTGATGTCCTGGCACTCATCCACATCTGAAATTACGTACACATCATACCACAATTAATCCTGTGAAAAAAAATAATCCTATTGCACTGGTTAATAAATAAATATTTAAAATTGTGGTATTGTCAGCTATTTACTTTAAGAAAGCAAAAGCAAAGAAAACACCGTCACCATCGTTGTGCCAGAGCTTACTATGATTTTGTTCAAGGAATAAAAAATCGAATCGGGTATTAAACCGGTTAAAGTAATAGTTAAAAGGTCAGTTGGTCAAATCAGGATCCAACCAGTCATATTAAAATAATATAATTTAATTAAAAATAATTAAAATATAACAATATTAATAATCACTAATAACAAAATATAAAGAAATGTAATAATAGCTTGATTATAATAATAACAAAACATAACAATATTAAGATTTTTTATCTTTATAATTCATTATTAACTAAAATTAATAATCACCGATACCAAAATCGTCATTAAAATTCATTTAAATCTATAGGGACTAATATATTAGGAGTTGGATGAGAAAAAATAAGACTAATAATAATATAATCATTCAAACTGATTCATTAATGGTTTACACAGGTTCACTTCAATTTGACCAACTAGTTCAATCCTCTGGGTTTAACATCCAAACCAAATTGGATCCACTAGCCGGTTCATTGGTTTCTTAGTTGAATTAGTCAGTCAGTCTAATTTTTTTATTTTGGGATTTTTTCAGCAAACACTTCAAATCCATAGGGTATTAGAGGCTTCAAACTCCGTAAGTACTTAAGGAAATGGTTTCATATAAATTGGAATAAAACTCTCTCATATATTTGTCCCGTGTTTGGCAAAATTACTTCTAAATAAAAGAAAAGAAAAGAGGTTTAAAACGAGAGAGGGTGCTGTTGTATTTTACCCCCAAGAAAATCATTAAAAAAAAAACTGTGGGGTTAAAACCTCAAAATTTTCATAATTACCTTTGCAGCCACCCGCGGTGTAGGGGTTGCCTTTGAACCCCGTTTTACATTTACAGTAGTAATAGCCACTGACACTTTCTGATTCTTCGCATTCCGCATGATCACTTTTGCAGGCTCCGCGGCATGATGATCTGTTCTGATCAACTGCCCAATCGAGAATTACCTTAGATCTGTTACTTTCTCTTCGCTCCTTGAGGTCGCTGTCGACGACGGGGAAGTTAAGAGTTTCGTTCTTCTCAACAAATGCATAACTGCAACGAGCATAGTCATCAGACGTATCACTACTGTAAAATACCATATTAATGGTATAACTTCCAACGGCTTGCTCCAAAGCACTCTGGCACTCACCGGCCACTGAACTCCGGTTATCGCATCCCGCGTTGCAGCCGTGAAGGCTTTTTCCTTTCCAGTCATAGAGGAAAGCGTAGGTATTACACCCCTTTACCTTGAATTTGTTCTTTCTACTGGATATGCCAAACTTGAGAGGCACCCAAAAACGACGCCACCACCTAGATGCATCTTGGCTGGGATAATAGCAAACATCAAGAACAGGCATAGAGACAAGAATCTCACTATTATCCCCGGAGATGTTGAGAACCTGCACGGTGTGGTCTTCCTCACTACTTGCTAAGTATGGAATATGCTGCCCGGAGGAAGAATTGCTGCATTTTATTTGAAAATCAGGGTCTTTGAAGCAGTCCTTCGTCATGCCGAAGGGATAAGAGATGTCCACGTTCCCGCACTTTCTATTGCAACCCGCCGTCGCCGCCGCGGCCAGTGCGAAGGCAGATAATAATAATGCCAGTTTCAAAAGCAATGCCTTACCCATCGTTTAATCACTACTTGGTATATGATGGTGATGATTCTGCGCATTCTGATATGATCAGCAAAGCTAATATATAGATAAAGTATTTATAACATGAACATATGTATGCTGTCTTCCATGGATATGACTTTTATTACTTATGTTTTTAGCTGTATGATTCCAAGCGTGTGCGCGACGACAAAATTGGATTATTTTAGAATCATGATTATGAGCATTAATAATAACGTATTATGTAAATCGAGATAAAACCTCTCTCACATATTTATCTCGTATTCCATAAGTCATGATTGGAAAGCTGCGTATGAGTAATTTTAAACAGATTTAAAATTAGTTATTTATTTCTTAATAATTTAAATTTTATTAACAATTTTATGTTGCAGATGCACTAATTAACTAAAATAAATTTTTCCATCCAGTGCTGACAAGGGATATATGGGGCTACAGACGCTACACATTATAAGAGAAGACTTGGGCAAATCAAAGTCTTGGGGATTTATACTCATTATCCTACACTAGAAGATATTTGCATCACCCTAATATCTCTCTTGGTGGGGCTTGAAGAGGGTTGGACTATCATCACCACATAATAATTGTGAAATTAACGCAGATATTTTATAGTTATTTTGGACTCTTAAAAGCCTTTATTACAAAAATAGCCAGTGTGACTTATTGTCCTCTTAAAATTTAACGGGTTTTTTTTTTGGGTGATTTTTCTTAAATTTTTCCCCATCCAGTATAATCTCTACTTACTTCGACTATTAAGAGAAGACATTGACGAAGACTTGGTTGCCCACGGCATAACACGGCATCTCATTAAGCATGAAGAGCTAGCTCGAAGATAAAGGATATCCACAATTATAAAAGAAGGCTACTTTTTTTTTTTTTGGGACCAGATATAAAAGAAGACTTGGACAATTCAAAATCTTTGGAATTATATCTCTATATATCTTTGACTTCTTAGAAGACTCTGACGAAGACTCGTTTGCATGGCATGACAGAGCAGGTCATTATTATAAGCATTTAATAGATTAAAGATTAAGTTTCACAAGCACAACAAAAGTGAGAGACTCATTGACCAGTAAGTCTCATACTCGATCATTAATTCCACTCCAGAATTAGGCAATGAATGCTCTTCAAAGTTTTAAGCATGTTTTCCTTCAAACAAGAGAATGGGTTGACCGATGCTAACTTGCATTCCAATTAACTACCACAAGATTTTCAAAAATAACTAGAAAAAGAAACTACGAAGTAGTACCTCCGGTCCTTATATAGAAGACGTAGTTGATTAATTTGGGAAGAATAATGAATTTACTAAACTAATTATTTTAAAGTATTTATATTTATCATTTTTCTCTCCCAAATAATTGGCCCCACTTATAAATTAATATATAATCTAATCACAAACAAAAGTATTTTAGAGAAATTACATAACATATGTTATAATTAAGTAATTTAACTTTTTTCACCTCTCCAAATTAGTTACTTAGATCTTATATTAAAGATTGGGGGTTGTATAATTTAGTTCATATTTTCCAGTTTTTGGTGACTAGCTAGATTTAATCTTCTGTGCATCTGCTTTCCAATGGCAGCATTACAGTTGTTTTCTACAAAATTTAGACTCAAACTTTAATCCTTCATGCGTCTACGTAAAATTTCAATCTGGGCTTACCTCTCCGATTAACCAGTCAATCCAGTTTTTAGTATGGTGGAAAAACTGGAGATGAACATAAGATTAGGGAATTGAGAATTGAATGTTCATAGTTAGTTAGCTACACTTTTGGGGCCCTATTTATAAAGCAGAGAGAATATGTATTTTTTTTTGTCCTATTTATAAGTTATATTGTTAGATTTTTCACATGAATGCGCACTTGCCTCCTTCATTTAGTTTTCATGGGAACAAGCTATTAAAGTATACTTTTATAGAAACCAAGAGAATCTTAAATCCCATTAATCATGTTTTAAAATTTAGGCTAAAGTATACTTTTAGTCCTTTAACTTTACACAAGGTTTTATTTTGGTTCCTTAACTTGAAAAAGTAAACCCTTAGTTCTCTAACCC